CCAAGGATCTATCCAGCAGCAGAACCACACCATATGAAGTAAATCATTAGCACTTCTATCCCAATTCACGTTTACGCTGATGAGACAACCTACCGAACCTGTCCAGAAGTGTGGCCAGTCCTCGTTGAGAGCGAGTCCGGGCCCAGAAAGGAGCCAACACGATAAATAAGGTGACCGTACAGCCAAAGGATACGCAGCAGGATTAAACGGCGTCGAAGTCCATGAAGGTGTAGTCTGAGCTCGAGCGACGGGTAGTAGACTCGCCACCACCAAATAATGGACGGTGACCAATAACGCAGCTGGAACCGTAAACAAGTCGAAAAGAGTGTGCAGACGCATGCTCAGATGAGTCTGGTAGTTGGAAAGAGGTGTGTTCAAGTTGGTCGTTTTCGACGTGCGAAATGGAATAAAAAGAAAAGGGTTTTGCTAGTGCGGTAGTGGAAGAGAAGAGAAAAAGATGGCTCCAATTAGCTTGAGAAAATCAAACATTTTGACAATTTTTTTTCGTGGAGATTGAGGAAGACGGAGATAAACCCCGGGAATATCGAGTGTGTTGGGGCCACAAATGAGAGGATTTCGGTGGTCAACCCACACTTGACTACCATCCACCAAGTTGGCTACCCTCGAAATGAGGCATTTGACTCTGAATAAACTTCTTTTCTGAGCCGCGCGGCTTGTTTTCTCATCAATTCGCTTCAGAAGGCCATAAGCGTATTCTCAGATCACCGAGAAGAGCGAATCCCATACGAGAGAGGGTGTCGGATATATGGGATACTGATTCAGAACTTCGTTATACGGGTAAACCCGGCAGACATTCGAGTGAACCAACTAAAGCTACCCACGAAAGTGTCTATTTCATGAACAGCACACACAGTCACAGTTCCGTATATTGCTAGGCTAAAGTTCGTGTATAAGACCCACAGGTTCGGACTGGAACTAGACACCGAGCTGTACAAACGGAATCCAAGATATAAGCGGTACACCTCCCTTCTGACGAAGCTTTTGCACAGAAATGTGGAGTGCTTCTGCCACACTTCTACTATCAGGTTCTTGTCCATCTTGAACCAGGTGGGCATAAAACTTGTCGGCAACTTCTGGCGCGAGGTCGTCTTGAATAGACCACATCGTGGCGACGACTCCACGGTACCCGGCAAGTAGCATTCCACCAGCGATGTGAACGGCCTCTTCTGACAACTTTTCATCTCCAGTAGTGGTTTGACAAGCAGAGAGGAATGCAAATTGCGCCTTTGGAAGATCAAGTCGAATGATTTCCTCGAGTGTCAAGTGTCCATCTTCGAGTATCAGTGCACTTTTAGTCGGCTCTTCTGGTTTCTGGATCCCATGGCATGCCAAATGGAGCCAGCTGCAGCCCTCCATTTCCTTCATCACTCGCTCCTTCGTGCCTTCAGGGCCTTCAAGGACGAAATGGAGACGCCTTGACTAATGCCAGTGGCAGAACCAGTAAAATCGCGAGCAATGAGCAGATTGACTTCACTATGGAAAAGAAAGGAGAGATAAAGGA